TTATTTTACATTTCTACTTTAATTTTTATTAAATGTTAAATACGCGCAGAAGGAAAAATAAAAGTGTGTGTTATTGTGATGTTAATGATACGCGTATTACTGAGATTTAAATTAAAAATTAAATTGCGATATTATGTTCTTTAATGAGAAGTGAAGAAACGAGGTAAACTCTCGTAATGGATTACAAGGTGTCGTTGAAATGAAATTGTTTGTTGAATAATGTTGTATTTGATAGAATTGTTGCTGAATGGCGGTGTATTTATCGAGAAAGTTGCGTTTTGTGAACACATCTTTTATGCTCGTGACGTAAAATAAGTATATTGAAATATCATGAATAAAAGATCTATTGTTAACTTAAGAAACCATTGAAAAGTCAAGAGACTTCAGTTTTCATCGAAGGTCGAAGTACACAATAGTTAATGATATCTCTAGACGGCAGACCTCGCTACCTGCCTTATAAACCGAGGGTTCTTCACACAGGCCTTGCCTTTAGACAAAGAGCTCGGCCATATTCTGAATACATTTCATCGGTGAAATTGAATTATTCACATTCAACCGACAGAGGTTTGCCCGAATCTTGCAATAATTTCATCAGAAATTTGGTGTTTACAGAGTATTGCGCGGAATATTCTAGAAATGTCACATCTTATATTGGTTACGCTCTCTTCGATATCGAACTCGAAATCGATTCTATTTAAAGTTTGATGGAAAAATTGTACTTATTTGTAACTTCAAAAAAGTAATACATTAAATATTTCTCGTCATCAAATGGAACTTTTGCCAAAGTAAAATGTAGTTTAAATTAGTTGAAGACCTTTATTCGGCACAAGATTTAAATTTCGAGGAGCTCTTCATGTTACAACTTTTCTTTCTAACTTGTAAATTAGGTGTTTTCAAGTCGAAGTAATTATTATTATTAATGTCTGCGACTGTGAAAGGCATCTTTGAGATGCATGCTACTGTGTATCCATCTATCAATTTAGCGGTACGATAGTTTTTCAGTGAAATTAGTCCACGGGCGAATGGATCATGTACAATATTGGATCACGTATCTGAGACTATCAATTCAACTTTATTGTCTATGCCAGCCGTAAAACTATACCAAGCGTACAATTTTCAAACACTATAAACGAGAGAAGCCGTTATAACGGCACTATATTTTAGGATAAAGATTGCCACCTTTCGTGCCGTTCAATATTCTTTTATATCACACCAATTCCTGTTAATCGTATCAAGTTGACATGTTTTAACTCACTTACAATTGATACCAACGCGTGTCTCCAGAGTAACTTCTGAAATCAAAAAGACATTTTCAGCAAATAACAGTATTACGATAATAATTAGGCGAAATGAAGTGAAAAATTCAACATTATCAGCGTTTGAATAGAAAACAATCAACTTTTACACCTATGAAAGTTAAACACAACTTTCAGAAAAATTATCTGCAGCACATTGTTTCTAAGATATTCACGGAGAAAGCATATTTTCTTCTTAAAAGTCGCCTTTCAATTCGACTTGTTTCTTCATTTATGGAATTTTATTAGCATTTAAAATGTAGTTAGCCATAGAATGTAATTTGGCAGCGGAATTTATTCATGAAAATTGCAGTATTGTTATTTTAATCAACAAATTGTCGGAAAGTCAAACATTCTGGTAACCAAGTCGCATAATGTTCCTCCAAGTTGGCGTATTCGCTTGAGATTTCGTGCACGAGAGGTGGAGAGAAATTATATTCTGCTATGTATTCAGCGAAGGTAACAAGCTCCGCGTAACCGCTTTATGTTTTCTATTTCCGAAGAGAGAGCGTGAAGAGCGGCCACCACTGCTGTCCGTGTCAGGCGCCGCCGCCGCCGGTGTTGGTCACGACGTCGCCTAACGCGCGCATAATACGGCAAAGCTCGCAGCCGGAAGCGTCCGCGTGCTGTTGCTCCGGCTGTTGCTGCCCGCTACACACCGGCGCGGCGCCGAGCGCCGCCTCGCTGCGCCAACTCCGCGAGCCGGGCGACGGCATCGCCGGCATCGCCGCGGACTCGCTGCGGATCAATGGTGGCATACGACAGTTCCGGCAGGTAAGCCGCGACCTCTCACCTCGCCGTCTCTCGCGAGGCTAATGACAGTACACCGCCCCATGATGCAAGAATACCGGCTTGATGCGAGCTCGCGACACGCCCATGAAAATTCTGTTCATCAATTTGTACAGTAGTAGACACCCTTTTTCTTTCAGAAGATAGAAAGTAAAAGATTGAATTATTTTGGATCTTTGAGAAAATGAAAGTTTTGAATAAAGATTTGAATAAGAATTTATTAACAACGACAATTAAATTATACATTTTTTTAATTGTTGCAATGAACAAAAATTAACAGAATTTCACGATTGAGATTTAATTAACAGTGATTCTATAATATACATTGACAGGAATGGTTTTGACAACTCAAAAATAAAACAAAAATTTGAAACTTTGTAGAAATAAAGCACACATGAACTTGATTACACAGCTATTTTTTTATTTTGGCAGAAAAAAATCAATTTCTCTTTGAAAAGGTGTTTTCACTCATAAAATCATTTTTTTGCTGAAATAAACAATAGCTATGTATTAAGTTTTTGCGTACTTTATGTTCAAATTTTTAAGAATTTTTGAATTGACTAACTTTCTTTGTCTCTCCCCGCAGATATTATTCTCATAAATATTTTCTAACAAATAATGTAATAATGCAATTGTGAAATTAATTTGCAATTAACGCGAATTCCTAAAGGGAATACATCCAGAAACGTAAGCTTGTAATACAATGAGCAGATTACAGTAATGAATCCCGCGTGATTTGAAATTTGCGTTTGAATTCGGGACAGTCTAATTTATCATGTCACCATTATACGCAATGTTACAGCCGGTATTCTTACATATGTGGAGCGTTACCTGTGCGCGGCACAGCACCGTCAAACCCTCCCACTATTAACTACTCCTACACTTCGTGTCTCCATTTATCCGCCTTTCTCTTGTGTTCTGTTTGTTTTCACTTCCTGCTGAGTTTGTTAGCTTGAGGAGAAGGAGGAAGAGAAAGGATTGTATAATTGGTAAACTGCTTTCTTGGTAATCGGAGTAAACGCCGGGGAATATCTCATTATTCCCGAGGCATCTTTCTAAACAAACTAGAAATGACGTCTGAAAGACGCCCTAATAATTTCCTTACTAAATCTTTTCTGAACTTCTTTTATTTTTTTTTTCAAATAAAAAAATCACACCATAGATTTTTTTTATGTTATTTGAATTAATTGACAAGTGTAAATTTTTATAAGAAATCGAAGATATTGATAATTCAAAGTAATATGATTTTTATATTATCGAGAAAATCGTCGCCGAGAAAAACTTTTTAAAAAGAGAAACTAACAACTCCGTTAATTAAGTGTCTATTTTAAATTCCATTAATTTTATACGCAAGCTTTTTAACAATGCAAAAGTTAATTGTGTTTTGGGAGAAAGATTATATCTACTTATAAAAAGCAACTTTATCTCGTGATTTTAAAAGATCTCATCAAATTTATACGTAGAAGATTTTTTTCCGGCAAAAACGATATATATATACGTCGATTCGAAAATAGCTCAATTTTATAGATTTGAGTGATGAAAGATGCGGCATAAATTAATGTTAAAATTATATCTATAATAATAATAATAATTATAATATATGTAATCTTATTTTCTCTCTTTCTCTTCCTTATTTCCTTAGCTTATCCTCTGTCGTTCTTCTAATTATCTTCACGCATGTATTTCTGCGTGTCTCGTCTCTTCTAATGTTTCATTATCAAGTTGCTCATTTCTTTTTTATTGGTGTTTTCACTCGTAACATTCTTACTCGAACGTCATAGCTGTGTATTCGTGGTGTTCGTCGTTTTTGTGTCGAATATGTGTCTTGTAACGTTTCGTTCTCTCTTACTGTTCGTTCGATTCATCCCGTCTCTGCAAACAAACTTGTCCTCTCGTTTTTCCAGTGTGTCTGTTTTTTCCGTTTTTCCGCACTTGTTTCTCTTTTCACCCTCTTGTTGGGGGTTTACCGGCGTAGGCCCGGCGGAATCGTAAAAATGCGACGCGCGAGGAAAAATGTACTCAACGCAGGCTTTATGGGATCGAAACTTACTGCGCGTACTTTACGAGACAGCTAACAGCGTTGCTTCTATCATGAAGATCCGTGGGAGCTCTTCTTATTCTAATCTCTGTTGTTAGCCGTTGAAAGGTTGATAGTTTATCATAGCGTGTGACAGAGTTTGTTCAGGTTTCACATACGTCTTTCGTTTTCATTTCTTGGGCTACTTTTTATGAGTTTCAGCGCGAATTCAATCGCGATTATTGTTTCATGGACTTGAGTTTTTGTAAAAAATCTGCATGAATACAAAAGGTTGATTTGTAAACTTTTGGATTTGAAAATTCGAGAATTTTGTTCGATAATCTTGTAAAGCTAAGGATCCATAGATTTAGTAATCTACAGAATGGACAGAGCAAAGTATTCGAGGATTTTTCAAACGGCGATTTTTTAGTTTTGAAATTCATTCATTTATATACTAAAATTTCCAAATTTGTGGATCTAAAGATCTATCTAGTTCTAGGATGGATTCAAAATTTGTCGATTTAGATATCCAATGCGCAGCTAACGCGATAAATGAGTCCGTTGATACGCGCAGCGAGTACGATAAGTGAATCGTTTGCTACGGAAGATACAAGTTTGCAAAGCAACCCTTATCGATGGAGCTAGCCTATTGCCACCTGGCGGAGGGTGGAAAGAACTGCAGGAAACCGCCCTCGAGCTCTAGAATCGTACCGGCGGAGAGAACACGGATATTGTTTCGCTCGACATCTGATACCTGCATTCGCTCAGATTTTTTGCCGCGCTGGTCGTAGAATCTTGACATGATACAGATGGCGGTCGTTGTAAAAACTGCTCTTTTAAAGGGATTACCGAGTCGGCGGTATAGCCGCCTTAATCCTTTTCGAATTAAATACGGAGTAAAAAAAATATATCACATGCTATTTTAGAAAATATGTCCTTAACGCCTTCACACAGAAAACGTCCTTACATTTTGATGTTCCCTTCGAATGCTTTTAACCTTCTGAAGCAGTTCAATTCAATATTATTTGCAAAAGGCATTTATATGTTAAAGTAGATCATTGTGTATTTTTTGTGAAGTTTTTTCCAAATATTTGGAATCGCATAGTGAATTTTTCCGAGAAAGAAAAATGAGTTTACAATTAAACAAGATACAATTAACATTCGTCGTCAGCAATTCTTGTTTCTTAATAAAGATATTTAGCAAAATGGACTTTGGAAAAAAAAGCAAACTAAGTTTTCAAAAACCATCCATGTCTGTTGCCACATTCTCTTCGGTGAAAATATTCAGCTTTAAATAAATATTGCTAAATACATTTTCAAAAACTAAAAATTTAATATATAAAATGTCCACATAATATCAAATAACGTGATTTTAATATCTTTTCGCTATACCATACGTTTTTCTTCTTTTGTCAAATAAGTCTCCACAGCATTCGAATGATGTCTGTTTAATATATTATTCCGTACCGCGTCGATTTTACGTGACTTTCTTTTCACACTGCATGAATCACCGATGCCACAAACAAGCAAAAATGCTACCATGAGTCATGACGATTTATTCGGGAAAGAGTAAAAAACTTGAACGCCATTATTTACACCCCTTCCATTTATACCGGTCGTTACACATTTTTTAAAATTTTTACTTTTATATTTGAATTCACATGAATTTAAAAAGATAAAATTTAGTGAGATTTGCTTAAATTTCTTATTTAAATCCGTTAATTTTATTAATTTATTAATTTAGAGAAACAAAAAATTTATATGTTGAAATTTATTCAAATCAAGCCTTGTTCAGAATCTGTTGCTGGATTTAATAAGTTAGAAACGCTATGTAATTTAGAAACCAAATCGTTTAGATTCGTGGATTTAGGAAGGCTAAAATCTACACAATCATTGAAATTCAAGCCTTGCTCAAAACCCTTCGCTACTTCTCGCGGAATCTTGACTTTTAAATGAAAAAGAATCTCTTTCTTTCTCTGAATGATATTTACTGTTTCTATGTTTTATTTAAAGTAGCTTTATTTATATGCTCAAACATGCTGACACAAATAAATTGGCGCAAACATGTTGGCGCTAAGTATTTATATTATTGATTTTACGTTTGTATGCTCCAACAATCGTGCAACAGGCTCGTTAAAACAATTTTGCGCCACACGTTTGAGTGCATAAATACCGTTTAACATCTGCATTGTTATTTACTTTATATGAGTTTGTTGATTGTTAATAAACTTTAAAATTTAAAAAAAAATTTTTTTTTAATATTACATGTTTTTTAATTTTTTCATCGGTACAAAATTTTTGAAAGAATTTTATTTGAGACCATTTCGAGTATTTTCATCGATATATCAATAGCATGGTTTTTGAAAATATATAAATAAGTTTCTGAAAAAAGAAAAAGAATTTTGGGAAAATTATTGTATATAAATTTCTTTACATTATCGAACTATTAAATATGTAATAAGAATTGTGTATTATTTTAGTATTCTTTTTCGTAGCTCAAATAGTTGTAATGTCAAAATCGAATTTTTATTTTTAACATTAAATACCCTTCTAATCAACCTTTGTACATTAAACTTCTTTCAACAATTACTCGAGCACAATTTGCACGACTGAACGAGTTCTCGTCTTTTCTGGGACGCCACGTGTGCGTCAGCCTCGCTCTATTTTTTCCTAGCTATATAATTTGCTTAATTCTGAGTGGAAGTCCCCTCTCGGTTGGCGAAAGCGCAAACCGAAATTTTGTGTCATCATTAAACGAGATTCACGTCGTAAAATGAGGATGAAAAGGTCGTAGTGGGGAGTAGCGGCAGCGGCTCTCGCGACATTGTTAGTTTAATTATGTCTCCTTGGCGCATGGAAACGCCGAGGGGTGAGGATCCTTCCGGCGGTGTGAGGCTCCCGTTGGTGTTTTTGGCCGATGGCCAACCAGGGTACGTCCTCATGCATGCCACGGAGATTCGCTACGACG